CAGGATGTGCTCCAGTCTCTCCTCCTCCCCTGTCATCTGTTCCTGTGTGCTCTGGTCAGATATATCCTTCTCCCGAAGCTGCAGATTCAGTGCCATCCTTTGAGATACATTCTTCTCAGGGGAGGGCGGTCTAGCCAGATTTGTAAGGTAGAATTCGGATCATGATGGGGGAGTGGGGAGGAAGCATTTAGGAACTAGAGGAAAGTTGTATTGCTGCTATATTACACCCTGACTGGCTCATCTCCTCCCCGCGACCTTTCCATAAGGGGATTGCCTACAGATGGGCTTTGGGTCTCCACTCCGCACTCCCCCACTTGCAGTTTTTAAGACCCAGGCACTACACAACAAACTAGAAGTTGAAGGTGGTAGAACAGAAGAACTAAACACAACTGTTAGGCAAAATTTACTGGGAAGTGCTATTTGACAAAAAAAAGAAGTTTGGTTTTGTACATGTAACAAGAAATCAACTAAAATTATTACACTTTAAAATGTACTTAGATTTGAGTATTCTTAAAAATACATAAACAATAATAAAAACAGTACAGAAGACATTGCCTGTGGTAAATATACATTAGCAAAAGTCTGACAATGTTGAATTTTACCTGCACTCTTTGATCACAGAGATAGTGATAGTTATAGAAACTGCTTCCTCTTGTGTTCTACAAAGCAGCTTACTACAAATAACCATCCTCCCATTGTGACTCAGAGGAAGTAGCCCAATATAGGTTTCTTAGACTGCAACTCTGTATGGGAGCAGACAGCCTCATCTTTCTCCTGTGCAACAGCTAGTGGACTTGAGCCACTGACCTAGTGGCTAGCAGTCCAACACCCGAACCACAGTGCTACTAGGGCTCCAGGGTCAGACACTGACCTTCGAAATTCCCATTCTTTGCTTCATAAATGATTAATTGAGCTGCTTCTCCCCACTGATCAATTAGAAATAAAATGCTTATTAGCCAAATTTTGGTTAGTGTTTTTTTCTTCCCCAAGTCTCAGCCTGAGCAAACACATAACCCTTTCCCTAATAGTCTAGCCTCTAGAGAATAGGCTACCTCTCTAAACCTTCTGACTTATCTGATTAATCATCGTTTCATATCACTTCTCCACACCAATTTAAAATTTTAATTTTTAATCATAATAATTAGTAGAGATTTAAAAAACCAATAAGAAAGAGTAACAAAAGACATATTGGGGGGGGGGCACAAAAACTGGAATTGCTCTGGGCTGAGCAGAGCTTTCGTAGTAAGCATTTTTCCTGCTAGGCAAGCATCAAGCAACATGCTCCGAGTTAGTGCATTCAGTGGCGTCTCCTGGGAAGGTTCTCTCTGGTCACAGTGAATTTTTTTGTAT